TTAGCTTGAGCTATAACTAGGTGTTGCTCCTAATCTTATCTACACGCTTGTGCAGAATTACCCACCCTGAATCAAAGGATGCCTGAAATTTCAAGATAGTCTACAAGAGTATGAGCAATGTTTGATGACAGGGGCAAATATTATAACAGCTACATTTCATCTGAGGGCTGGAAGACCATACCTCAATGCATTCTCAGACACTCCTCTTGAAGGCATTTGTACCTCATCACTTCAACATTCAGGTATTTCACACTTGCCATGCACAAGCTTTACAACTCTTTACCTACTGTAAATATGATTGCTACAGTGAAGATGTACAAGATCTGTAGGGTTTGAAGAAAGGAGAGCTTCAAGAGAAGCAAGGTGACTGAGCTGAAGGCAACAGGATCCCCCTCCACCTAGAAAAATACAAAGCTGCTTAAATGCTAGTTCCTGGTTCATTCTGCAAAAAGAGTGGATAAAAAGCATGTGGCTTGCACATCTGCTTGTCTAGTGTAGCCCGGCAAATACCCTTCTACTACTACACAGACTACCTGAAACTGTAACCAAACCACTTGTATAACTGTACCAAGACATCCCCTTTAAATATGCCTTAGAGTTAACCACGGCCCCACTCCAGCTTCTGAGCTGTCATGCAGAGGTTAGAAGGAACTTCAATATTCAAACTGTGTGGAAAAAAAAATCAGTAATAAATGTATGAGAGTCTTCAGATTTAGCATAAAATCAAACATAGACTTCATCTGAAGTGATGTGTTATCCTCCATGTTTGCAGCTGTTTAAGCATTCAAAGCAGCAGCCAAGCTTTAAAAAGAAAAACAGTACTTTCCCAGGAAATAGCTCTACAATAAACCTGTGCTCATATGAGTTCCAGAGAATTTCAACATTCTATAGAAAACTCAGCAGCAAGCTCTAACTGCTGTAGGAGAAAACTGAAAAGGCACGTTTTCACTAAAGGCCCCCCTTCTAACTCAGAAGTTCAAACTTCATTTCTTCATTCACATGTAATGAGGCAGAATAACTTCTCAAAGAAGAGTTTCCAAAGACTGTTTGAAGTTTCAAAATAAAGCAAGCTTCCCAGGCCTTGTCTTGCAGCACACTAGTCTCCACAGCTGCCTATTGCTCTGAGGACAAATACAAGTCCACAGCAGATGAATGGTTTTCCCCAGCATCATGGAATACTGACATTTTCCACTACGGAATTTCAAAACCAACATCAAGAAATCAATTCCAACATTCACTGGAACACAGTTAACATGTTTTGATACATTATGCCTGTCACCCCTTACACACACAAGCTCTCCAACTATTACTTGTTACGAGCAAAGTGGCTGCCACTATGAAATTGCACAAGAAATCTGGGATCCATCAGCTGAAGAACTAAGGTATCTGGCTATGAAAGTACATGTCCTAATGCCATTTAACTTCCCAAGTCACAGGAATGCAGAAAAAAATCTGTTTACATCTTTAACAGCCTTTTTTTTTTTTTATGAAGCAAGTTATGGGTCCAGAGTTTATATACTGCTCACTTGCTCTAACTGGCCTCTCTGTTCAGGTACACAGCGACCCAAACACCACTGTCCTTACCTTACAGGACATCAGAAACAGAAAAGACAAGTTAGCCCTTTCTAACCTTCAAGGGAAGACACTGCAACAACAACTGGAGTGCTAGGCTGCAAGAAAAAGCTACTGGAGAGGGAGGAGTGGGCAACAGCTGCATACCTCAACTACAAACCCTCAAATAAGGGAATACTCAATCTCAGAAGGCCATTGCAGTCATCAGCACAGGAACAAATTTCACCTCCGGATTCAATTTGAACCCCAGCCCCTACTAACAGCCCTGTCAATGAGAGCTCGCTCTGCAGCAAATAACAAGCAGGTAACTGGTTAACAAGTCCATGGAAGAAAGTCCTGACGGTCACATTTTATAAAACATTCTCCACCTATAAATATGGCAGAGCTCCAGTAATTCTCAACTTATACTCATTGTCCTTTACACACCGCCTTAACACTATGTTCTCTTCGCCCTGGCAACTAGGCTTGAATAAAACATTTTTTTGAGATTATACAAGCTTTTCAGTCTTCACTGATGAGGTGCTTTGTTCACTTTTAGTTTCTATGAATATATCAATAAAAGGAAGTATTTTTGCACATGCTATCTTCTAAACAGTTGGTGAAACTCAGGTCCTTTAACGCCTCTAAAATACTATTACATTAGAACGTTCATGTTATCATAGAATCATAGACTATCACGAATTGGAAGGGACGCATAGGGATCACCAAGTCCAACTCCTGACTCCACACAGGGAAACCAAAAAGTTAAGCCAGATACCCAAGAGCATTGTCTGAATGCTTCTTGAACCTTGATTGTCTTGGCATCACAACCACTTCCCTTGGGAGCTTATTCCAGTGCTTGGCCTCCGCTCTCAAAGAGCTTTTTCTTAATATCCAATCTGAACTTCTCCTTTAAGTCAATCCCTTGTTGCCCCATCACCAGACACCAGAGAGAAGAGATCAGCACCTCCCTTTCTGCTCCCTCTCATGAGGAAGCTGTAAACAATGAGGTCACCTCCCTCAGCACCCTCTTTTTAACACTGAACAAACCTAGTATCCCCAGCCACCCCTCACAAGTCATGTCCTCTGGTCCTTTCACTGCCTTCGTTGGCCTCCTTTGGACACACTCTAGTATTTTTTGTATCCTTCTTATATTGTGGAGCTCAAAACTGTTGGTATATTTTATTCCATTAATTACCTCTGCTTTCATGATCTACCAATACATTAAGAACAATAAACAGGCTTCATGAATCATGAAGAAAGCACACCAATCCAGAACATTACTGTATGACAAGATCCAACTAACTACCCAGCAACCTAGAGGACAGGACAGTAAAGAAGAACGCAGAGAGATATGAGCAGAAGTAGCAATTACAGCATTCCAAGAAAAATCTAACATCATCCCAATTCCTAACGAGGAGACATAAGTGTTTCCTGAACAAGCAACTTAACATATTAATGGTAGAACAGTAAGCGTTCAGTATGAAGAAATGTGTCCCTAAAAATTTAGAGCTTCCACTCAAGTAACGCAACAGGAAAATACATGCAGCTGCCTCTGAGCACGGCCACCCGGAGCACCTTAACAAGATGCAGCAGCCTTTACACCTTACTAGCACAGCCCCAGCCCAAACAGCACCCTGGTTTATTATTTCACTGTTCAGCAAATAGCTTAAATATACATAAGAGTTACATGTGGTCATAGACAGGCCAAGCACCTGAAAAAAATTACAAAATTAACTTAGAAAGACTGAATGAGTCAATTTCAAAAAAATCTCAAAGAAATAAAGTTAGAAAAGTCTGAATGACAGCAAAGTATTTCAGCACTGTTCACCTAATGAAAAGTATCAGATTTATGCAAAATTTCAAATGTCTGAAAAAACATAACTGCTAGCAGCAATTGCTACAAAGTTGAAGAATCCTTTTTAATCTCTTTATTTCATTTAGATCATGCATTAAACAGAATTTTCACTATTTATAATTTAAGCTTTCCTTCCCAGTTTTGAAGTTCTATCAGCAAACACAAGGCTGACAAATGACCTGAGAATCATCATAATGTATACAGAACTCTAAAGCAAGTACATATTCAGGTACCAAAAAACAACCTCAAACACACATTAATGCATAGTTACAAGAACAAAACAAACTTTAAGTATGGTTTTACACCAGCACAGGAAGAAAAATAACCACTGCATAAGCCTCCAAAAAGTCTGTCTCATTTGAAATTAATAAATATTTTTCATTGATGTGAATTTATCTGTGTACATTGCTGTACAAATGAACAACACTTGACAGAGTTTTACCACAAGAAATTATTCTATAGTTTCTACACTAGGCAGATTTCAACAACAAGGATGTGCAATAAAAGCTCATGTCAAAGAAACAGTGAAATAGAGTTTTGATTTATGGAACTAGAGAGAAAACATGCCAGGCTGTAATTCTGTGCGGAACGTTTAAAAATCTCATTTTTTTTCTTCTCCTGGAGAAAAATACATTTAAGACAACGAAAAATTCTGGGTTTGACATATTAATGGAAGTTACAACTACCTTAGTATAAACTACTTCTATTTATATCAATTATGATGACTAAAGTATGAACTCTGAGGGAATTCAAATTACCACTGATATCTATACATACTTTATGTCACTTACCAGCATTTTAAAGGTTGCATCATATTCTGAAGACTACTATAAAACCTAAGTATCTACAGAATACAAGATTAATTAAAAAAACTAAAGCAAAAATATCTGCATGCCATCCGTGTCCAATACATTTATGTTCACCAATGCTTAGCCTATCCTCTAACTCAGCACCCAGTAGTCTGTGTCAGTTCTTTTCAGTACTTACAAAAACACTCTTGCACGGAGGTTTGCAGTTATGAATCTTTAGAAGAAAACCTACACATTAAGTATAATCTGCTTGATAGGATACAAATGATGAGGAAATAGTCTGCACTACTGTTTTTGTTTTAGACTAACATCTGTGTTTAAAACAAACACAAACATCAATCAAGTTCAACCTGAAACACACTCAACTTCTCTGCTTATTCAAAAATAAAATATTAAATAAAATTGGCGTAAATATGTTCTGTGCTTAATAGAAACACACACTGTCCCCATCACTGTATTGGAGTACCAAATCTCTGTAAGAATAAAGAGATGATATTTGTAACCAACAGGTAGGAAGGAGCTCCAAGAATCCTGAAAAAAAGCGTAACTAAAATTCTGCTAAGTGGAGAGATCCACCAAAAAAAAAAAAAAAAAATCAGAAACACATACAGAGATCAATTCTAGACCCAGAAAACACTGTTAGTTTAATGGCAGAATATTTCAGGTATGTGAAAGGAAAAACTAATTCACAACGTGTTGATATTCAGAATACATATAAATCCCTAACACAAATTAATTGGATTTGCTTGTTTATTTTAAAAACAAATCCAATAAATGCTTACCATATTAACAAGCCTCCGACAAAAATTCTCCAGCTATCTCACCTGCCAAAAATAAAGAAATCAAACAAGATAACCTCCTAGTTTACAGCCTAAACAAGCACAAATACTTCTATTTTGATCTCCAGCTGTTTCTACACACAAATTTCTTCTTCCCAAATGTTTTGGTTCCCCTTTTGGCAGAGCAAAAAGAAATGGCTTCTATCAGCAGCTAAAAATATTTCAGTTATCCAAGTTTTCTAAAGAGGGGTGAAAAACAACAGTGCTTTTCCAGTTAAGAAAACATCCCAGTTCAGCATTTCAACAGCTTCTACAACAGGCTGGTTTCTGAACAGTTAGATCTAAGTAACAGTAAGTGTGAAGGAAAACACTCACAGGTTAAATAAAGCTAAACACATAAATCTGGTGTAACTTCAGGTCATTTTCATTATTACCTCTAAAGGCAGATAAAGTTCTCAGGAAAGAATCTAACTGCTATAGCAGTTCTGCTGCAGAGCTAAGGCTCAAGATGCCCCACTTTAATTCTTACTCAAGTAACTGATTTCCTTACATTACAGGTATTCTGCAAGTCATCCATATGGAGAAGTTAATACTCACCCTCTAACTCTTTATCTGTTCTTTTAAGAGAATAAGCAGTTACAATCTGTGACTCATAGTATTCCTTTCACGAGGTAGCTTCTGAAGGCAGTGTACAGTTGTATGTAACACTGGAAGACATGTATTTGTAATCTGATCTTATTAATGATCTTCATATACTGAATGGATTTAAGATTAGAGAACTAAGAAATTCGCCTGATAAAAGCAACTTCTCCCCATCATTACTGTAAATTATTATCTTTCTGCCATTGAGGTAATTTACAAAACGTAGTATCATAACCCACAGCCTGGTTAGTAACTTGTGCTAGTGGTTCAAGTCACCTTGTACATAGTCTGTAGCTCAATATCCTAGGCAGGCAAAAATAAAATAAAAAGAAGTTACAGTAATAAACACAAGAAATCCAAAAATTTTAATTGGAGCCACACATGAATCAGGAAGAAACCAATACATCACCACTGAATTAAAAAGGCCAAAATGTGCTGTATTATATAACCGATATCAGATTCAAGCTCAGTTACAAGACCATATCAAGTACCAACAAAAGAAAGGCCTCCAAGAGCAGACTGCAGTTAACTGCAACAACATTTCTTGCTCATTCCTCACTAGAAGCAGTCAAGAATGCTCTGGAAGGGCTCAAAAGAACAAAGATTTAACTACATATAATTTATCTTTTTACATCATGAGTTCTCCATGCAGTTCTCTCAAGGCTCTTTCCCACTCCAGTTACTACAAATTACACCCAGATGTAACTGTCCGTGCAGGAAATTTAATCAAAAAGGGAAGGCTTGCAAAGGCATGAAAGCTAATTTACTGTCCAGGTGACACTGATACAGTGACTTAACACTCAGATACCATCAGCTCTTCTGGAATTCTTCACTAAAGTATGCGTTCTAGTTTGGTTTGTTTTTTAGAATCCTGTCCTGCTGATCACTGTATGTAAGAATCTTCAAAATAATATTCCAACCGTCTGTCACATGGTGGCTTTTCTTCCTTTTTCCTCCATACAGGAACATTGCCTGCAGACACAGTTATTCTTGTTTCAGAGAAATAAATTGCACGTACCTTCTCAGTGAAGAAAAAAGTAAATAAACCTGAGCTAAAGTAGTCACACAGAAGATCAGCTAGTCTGCACGAAGTTTATATTACTACTCTTAAAATCATATTCCTTTGAGGCATGTTGTACAGACAGTGTATATACTGAAAAACAAAGCAAGTTTATGCTGCTATTAACTATGAAATGTCATGTGTTGTACCATGTAAATCAAACATTAAGACTCAATAACTTATTCCTACTACAAAAGTGCCTTTTAAAACACAAGCAATTCTATTTCTGACACAGAGTCATCTTTCATTAGTTCTATAGACAAACAGGAAGATTAGCAAAGACCATACAATTTCAGTAACTATTGTGTATAATCAAGACTATTGTTTCAGTATCTGATTAAAAAATATTGTATAGTTTTTCTTTATTTGAAGAAAATAGCCACTGAAAAGGAGAAAAGAAAGAGGACTGGCTCAATTATATATTATTTCATGTACAGCAAAACCTCTGTGTTCACCACCTAATAACTACATTCACAATGCCACTAGCAACACAAACACAAAACTAATCCTCCCAGCAAGAAATATAAAAAGTTTGCTTTGCACAACCCAACCCCAGAATTCAGCTGGAAATAAATCAAGCTTCCACATTGTTCAAGGGGAACATGGTCTGGTCCCAGTCTCAACTGAAGAGCTGCAAATAAAACATCCTTCTTAAAAGACCTACTGAAAGCTGCATTCTTACTGAGTAAGAATGACTTAAGGCTTTTATTTTAGTGTAGGCAGATAACCGTCCTTCCATCTTAGTGTATTTCCTTCTGATGAGAACTTAAAAGGCAAAAGTAAGCTGTAACGGAACATAAAACCTAACAAAGATCAGCTCCACAGCTCAAATACAGATTTTAATCCTGATTCTAAATTTGCAAGCAGTGTAAGTTGTAAATTTAATCTTACAGGCTTCCAACTTGCATATTAGTCTACATAATTATTCCATATCATTTCAACCTCCATGTATTCGCGGCCACACAACTTAGCATCCGAGCTGCAGACCGCTGTAGCATGGGAGAGCATGCTGGAGAGTAAGAACTGCAACCTTATTCCATTACTTCATCCCCTTCCTCAAGCACATGTACTATTAGCTACTATGGAAAATACTGTATCAGGCAAAGTCAAAACAACAGTGTCTCCTACAAACATAATACTTTGATTCCTTAAATAAAGCTTTAAAATGAAAAAAAAAAAAAAAAAAAAAAAAAAAGGCCAGTCTTCCACAATAGGCAAAGGCAAAAAGACCTCCTACTTCTCACCCTCAGATGTCAAGTCTAAGTTCGTGGCTGCTTTCATAATTTGCCCCCATCTTTTTCTAATAGGAATATTTTCTCCCTTTCCCCTCACTCCCTACAGTTTACAGAAGAGGCACAATGAACCACAGTTAGACAGCTTTTTCCTATTTCTGCACAAACAGCACACAAACTAAACCATTTGTGCTTTGAAGTATTTTCTATCAAGGAATCTCACAACTGCATCCAATAACCCATCACTCAAGCACTGGCCCCACTTCACAGACTGTCTCTCAGCCTAAAACTATCAGCCCTTCTCCTATTAGTTATCGGCAGTAATTACTGAACTGTATCAGAATGAGAAGAATAAATAAAGCATTTCTCCACTGCTTTTCAGCTAGCATTAGACATTCAGCAGTTGCAATAAATGCTAGTCTTCACAAGCGTGCACTCACTCGGACTCCCAGCTTCTTCTCAGAGACACATTCACGTAAGAAATAAGTGGGAAAAACAATTCATCTGAGAAGAAAAAAAAAAAAAAATAAAAAACGGGTTTAAAAGTTCCAGAGCTGTCAAGGACTCTCAGCGCCCTTTAAAGCCAAAGACGATTATTTTGAAGTACTTTAAGACCTCTGGACATCAGAAGAGACTCGCCGGTGGCACGCCACGGTGCTAGCGCGGAGGCCGCTCGTGGGGGAAACACGAGGGGGGACGAGGCCCCCCAGCTTGCTCTTCTCGGGGCTGGCCTGCGGGGAGACGGCGCCCAACCCCGAGAATCGCAACCGGGGCGGGGGGGAGGCTCTTCCCGACCCCACGCAGAGGGGGCTCCGCAAGCCCCTACCGAGACCGCAAGGGGGAAGGGGAACGCGCCCCGCGGCTCTGGGGACTGGCGAGGGGCCGAGGCCAGCAGGAGGGCTAGAAACAAAGCTTCGCCCCGCCGGCGGCTGAGGAGAGAGGGCCCCAGGACGGGCACCTCAGCTCGGGCCGGGGGAAAGCGAGAAGCCCCGTCGCTGCCCTCACGAGAAAGGCGCTGCGGCACTGAGGGGGCTCCCGCAGGGCAACGGCGGGATTATCCCCGCGGGCCGGCGGCGAGAGACCGTTAAAAAGCGGCTGCTCGCCCCTCAGAGCCTCTCCCGGCGGCCGCGGGGGGGGGGGGGGGCGGGGGGAACAGACCCCCTGAGCACCGCCCGCCCGCCCTCAGCCGCGGCTGAGGGAGGCGGGAGCGCGGCCCCGCACCCACCTGGCGCCGCGCTCCGTCCCATCCCGTTCCAGCCGCCGCCGCCGCCGCCGCCGCTCGACCGCTCCAGCCGCCGCCGCCGCCGCCTTCGCGGGCTAAGCCTCCGCGCCCCCCGCCGCCGCCCCGCCCCTTCGGCCGCAAACCCCGCCCCCCCAGCCTCGCTTTTGGCCCACGCCCAGAGGGGCGGGGCAAAGTTCGCCAATGGGAGCCAAGGGCTTGGCCGCGCACGCTGCTGATCGGCGTGAAGCTCATCCAATGAAAACGACGGGAGGGCGGGGGAAGCTGCCAATCAGCGGCCCCTACCTGGGGTTCGCAAGAGCCCGGCGGCGGGGCGGGGGCTTTGCTCCCGCTGACCGCCTCTGCGTGCGGCTGCGAAGTCCCCGGGGCTGGGGGCTTCCAACGCCTGTGCTGATGCCCCCACCCCTCACAATATCGACGTGCCTCTCCCCGCACAGCCCCGCCGCGGGGCCGGCCTCAGCCCCGCTCCCCAACAGGCAGCTCGGCGGCCGAGCGGGGAGCCCCCTTCCCTCAGGGCTGCGCCGTCCCCTCACGCAGGGACGGAGCGCGGCTGCCGTGTCCCTGTCACACCTCTCCGGCCGCCCCTTCCCCACCCAACGCCCCGGCTTCAGCACACCCGTGCCCGGTCCCTCACAGCAAAGCGGGCGGTCTCGCTTCCACGCCACGTCGCTCGTGGGGCCTGCGCTCCCGGCCACCCGCCTCCACAGCCCCTTTTCTGCCTGCGAGAGGCCTCCGCAGCGCCGCTGCCCTCATTCCTGACTGCCACAGGCATCCGCCACCATCCCCCCTCCCTGCCCGTTGCCTGCCCTTGCGACCCAATTCCCACTCAATCCCAATTTCTGGTCATCCGGGCCTCAGAAGCGGTTCAGATTTACACAGACACGCACCCTAACGCTGAGGGGGCCGGCGGGGGCCTTCGCCCCGCTGGGCAGGGTGCATTGTGAGGGCTGCACCTGCGCACCCAGGCCGAACAATGTGCCCTTTCCTCCTTCGCTTGAGATTTTGTCCTCTGTGGTTATCCCTATAACGGGGGCTTTTGTCGCTCGCTGTAAAGCCTTTAGAAAAAAATAAGTCGGACTTCATCATGTGAATGAGATCTGGAGGGGGCGGGGGTGGAGGAGGTGGAACAATAGCCAGATGAACTTTAATGGCCCAGGGCACTTCAATAAATAATCACAGCTGAAAGTAGCGTTTATTGAACGCCATCTCGAGTCAATCGTCTTTGGGAACTGGAAGTTTACTGAGCTCAAACCCAGTTGTACCGCTGGCTTTAGTTAGCCACACTTTGCCTTACAGCAAAGACGTGGGCTCACAAGCACCTCCTTTTCACCAAAAATAATATGCAGTATTGCTATTAATTTGAGAAAAAATATTTGTATTTAAGGTACTGATATCCGTCATGGTAAGAAGCAGCATCTGAGAACCACTGCTGTAATCACCCAAGGTTACATGGCAAAAAGCAGCAAGCCAGCTTTGAAGTGCAGATGGTGACAGTTTTATGATCGCTAGCAAAGCAAACAGAAAAGAAGTCATTAAGTAACATAACACTGAAAGAAGGAAGCAGCGGTCTTTTTACTCAGCATAAGGGCTCACTAAGACAAAAATTGTCTCTGGGTTTGGGGAAAAAGTCGTTCTCTATTCAAAAGGAGAGTATTTTCCCTAAAACGCGTATGTAGCAAGAAAGAGGAAACTCTTCCGAGACCGTAAAATAAAGCGGAGGGAAAATGACCTGGCATTGTTAAAACACAGCTGCATTCATGCTTATTCAGTGATGCTTTTTTCATGTTGAAAATGGGATCTTGAGGTTTGAAAAATAGCCATTTCAAGCAGACCTATCACTACCAGTAATTTTTTTCTGCTTCATCAATACAAGTAGCCTGTGTCATGCAAGGTATTAATGAACATTTATTTTGTTCCAGCTGCTTTCCAGGCTCTTAGATTTCTTCTCAGCTTTCATTTTTCTCCTCTGTATTCATGACATTTTTAATGCTATTTTTAATAATATCTACATTTCATAAAAAAAGGAACTCAGGCAGAGCTTTATTGCTGTTGTTTTGACCTTGCCTTAGAATATGCAAATAAGGCAAATCTGCCAAACAATTTGCGTTTAGTCCATACTGAGTTTTCATTAACAGACACACAAAAAAGGTGGTTAAATTATATGCAAGGAATAGTTGAATCAGCTTGTATCCAAACCATTATTATTTTTAAGTGAAATCATGCTTCAGAAGAGTCCTCTGAAGGCAGTAAATACAGGTTTGGACTGGCACACCAAGAGATGTCCAGGATTGATCTTTCTCCTATTAATTTCACTTGAAGGCAGAATCAGGCTTCGGAGGGTAATGGGAGGGTTATTGGAGACTGAAGCCAAGGTGAGTTAGCAGAAGCGAGCATGACATTTTCTTACTATCTGCTTGTAATATCACTGACTTAGATCAAATTTATAAGGACCTCCTTTTCTTGAATAATTAATTTCACACAAAAAAGGTATAGCAGACAAAGAAACAATTTTAAAAGTCTGTCGTGCTTCTTGTTGCTTCCTGCTGAAGAGCATATTTCATGGTATGGAAGTCTTTTTCAGGAAACACAAAATTGCTGAATAATGTGAAAATAAATAGTGTTGTACAAATGATTTACAATGCAACCAATAATCATTACAGCATCTCTGATTATTAATGGGACATTGATAGGCCCCTGAAGAGTTTATTGCTGAATCAGCTTTTGAAATAAATAGCTTTCCCTCCAGCCACAGCCGCATCCCAGAGAAAGGGGAACCATGTCTTGACTGAGGTAATTGATTTAGGATAGATAGTGGACACAGGCAATGCACAACATAAGATGTTTTATGAATTACTATGTCTCTGTTAATGAAGTTTATTTTCCATTAACGCAAAACTATTTAGCCTTGATAAGGCTTTGTACATATTTCTCATACTATTCATATTTTCAATATTATTGATATTTCCATACAACTCTTTCAGGAATATTTTCCTGAGATGATTAACTATTTTGCTTTTTTTATTTTGTTTTCCTTTTAATATCCCTGGATCACTGGAATACTGAAAGACTACCGAAGTATATGAAACCAAGATGCAAGTAGATCCTCAAAGGAAACATTCAATCTAAGTTCAAAGAGGCACTGTAATCAATCTTAAGAAAAAACTGCAGAGAAACAAGAACAAAAGGAAGCTTAATAACTTTTCAAGACAGCTACTTTCATCAACTAAACAAGAGTTGTAATCCTGCCAATTAATAGTAATGTCCATTAACTGTAGGTCATAAAAACTCTTTGCTATGCGATGCACTCATTTTTCTTTGCTGTCTCTGACACTTGGTAGGGCAGTGTAGTAGGATATCCTATGAAGCAGGAACTGGTGATCTGTAGCAGGAGTGAACACACATAGTCTCTCAATGGTTTTACAGCCTTGTCAGTTGAACAAGCTCCCTTTATAAAAATAAACACACGAAAGACATGATTCCAAGTTCCAAGAAATTTAAAAAAATATATACAGAAAGCTGTAGTTAGTAACAGACTGTTGATTTAGCAGCTGTACAGTGCAGGGCACAGCTAGGACTAACGGGACAAAGTTAAGAAACAAAAACCACAGGGTGAATATTTAGTCTGAAAGAAGAGAAGAGAAGGTCAGGTCCCAAGGATAGTTGGGTTTCTGCAAACAGAACTGTGTGAAATGTTTCAAAGTGTGCTATGCCAAACACTTTTCCATCAGCTAAGGACGAACTAAATTTTATTTCTCCTGGCTGGATTCACTATAGCTGTATGCTTTTTTACAGACCCAGCAGTCCTTTCCTAAACTTATGTGCCTTGTTGTATTATGAACACCAATCATAACAGAAGTATAATGTCAAGGGTGGGGGGAAAATCTCTTACCAGATAAAAATAGGCTCTCCTGGATAACAAAAGCATAAGAAATAGTAACATGTCTCTCAATGTCAGAAGATTCATGCACCTGAGTTCTGGGAAGTCCCTAGCTGCTTTCTCACTCTCCTGAACCCATAAACAGACATGGATATTGAAAGATTTGCGATAACTATGTTTGATTGCTCCCAGCCTGATGTGCTATAGTTATTGATAGCCTCACTCCATCTGATTCGCCTGTCTCCTTTGTAGTATCGTGGGTAAAGTTTACCAACATGGACTGCAATCATCCACTTCCCACTGCCTTTCAGCAAGAGATTATCATCTAACTCTCCTATGTGCCTTTAGAAATCTCTCTTCTCATCCACTGAAGCACACAAAAGAGAGAGTGCATCAGTGTTGTACTCCACTAACATCTTTGACTTTGGGAAAACAAGGGGAACAGTTAGACACAGCCAGAGCATGAAGATAACCTATCTGACAATCTTGTGGCTCTGGCTTATATTTGGAACCTCTGTGATTTGCCTTAGATATGAAGATAATTGGAATGACACATGGATGTTCAGAACTTTGGAGCCAAACCCAGCCTTGTTCAAGATCTTGGCATGTCTCAGCAGCATCCCACCTCTTCAGATGGACATTAGCTGCAGTCTAGGGTGTAAGGTAGGGTAAAGGAAGAATAATGAAGGAGATAGCTGTGATGAAAGGGCGTCATGGTTTGAGCCCTGAGCACCATGCCACCACTTGCTCACTCCTTCCCCCTCAGGGATGGGGAGGAGAAATAAAACAAAAAGCTAGGGGATCCAGACAAGGACAAGGAAGTCTCTGCTCTGGCTCACCTCGCCTCTTCTCCTTTCTTCAACTGACCTTGGTGTTTGCAGAGATATTTCCCTCACAACTACTCTTCCTCCCAGGTTCCCCTTATTAAATACATTATCACAGAGGCTCAGCCACCATCACTAATTGGCTCAGCCTTGGCCAGAGAGGGGTCTGACCTGGAGCCAGGGGAGCTTCGAGAAGCAGCTCACGGGAACCATCTCTGTAGCCCTCTCCCCCGCTACCAGAACCCCACCACACTCAAACCCAGCACAAAGGGTTAGTTACGTTAAATGACTTTCCATCTTTTTTATTCAACTATAAAAATCATAGTGGGTGCCA